CGCAAATTTTAAAACAACAAATTCCAGTCATAGACCAAGAAAAAAGTGGACCTCGATCGACAAGCGAGCGAAAATTTGTGATTTTTAATGTCGGTTATGTCACAGGGAAGGGTTTTTGATAGGCTTGAACGGCAGTAAGACAAAAGAGCGTGATTTTTAAAACGACACGGAAAGGTTCGGGAGACAATAGCACAAAAGAAGTGTGAATTTTTGGCTCGAGCGACAATAGTGCTGAAATATTTTTTACGAATATTGACTGTTGATGCGGTTTCAGGGAGTTTTTTTGTCTCCGAAAACGATAGAACCAAAGAGCAGGATTTTTGAAGAGATGCGAAACGGGTTGAATGGCAAGAAAGTGGTGGAGAGAGTTACTCGTATGGCTTGTGCAACAAGAGCGCCAAAATTTATGATTTTGAATGTTTAGTAAACACAAAGAATATATGAAAGACATGTATCTGAAGTGCGGTTATGAAACGTATATGTGCATATTCAGTAATTTGCAAAGGGAGTTCCTCGTGCGGCTTGGACAACAATACCTCCACTAAGCGTGAGTTTTTAAAAGATGTAGTGGACGCGAAAATTTTTGAGCTTGGTGAAGTCACAGGGGAGTGTTATGCTTGGTCCGGGAAACAATTATGGCTCAAAAATTTTCAGAAATGTGTCCGTTGATGAAGGCGCAAAATCATTTCCAGTTTACCTCGCGCAATAACAATGCGGAAGGCGTGTTTTTCAAAGGGACGTGAAGTGGTTCGAACAAACTTATCTACTTCCCTTTCGTGGCGCAATAGTTCTTGAATTTTTAGTGTCAATGAAGTCGCAAAAAGAATTAATTGCTTGGCTCGAGTGTCAATAGCGCGAACTAGCGTGAGTTTCAAAAAGGGTCGAATGGATCGAAAAATCTCTTTGCTCGTGAGACGGTAGCGCGAGGGTGTTACTTTGGCTTCAGCGACAAAAGCACGAAATAATAGCTTTTCACAAAGATTGAAAATAAAAAGTAGTGTAATTCCTTTTTTTTTTTTAAAGCGAGCGATTAGGGTTTAAGTGGGTGAAATTTTGAATTGTGAATCAGTTGTTGTTAGCAAAACATCCTTACCCCTCCACTGAAGTAGATTATATTTGTCATTTAAGCCATTACCATTAAAGCCATTCGTGTTCTTAACAAAAAAAAGCTTTATCTCCTCAAATAAAGAAAATGACCATAAATGGTGAGCTTTTGAGCCCCACTGTTAGATCGGAATCTAATCGTCAAAGTTTGATAACGTGGATCTCGCAGCGATTCATATCCGTTCTCGAATTCTCGTTAGTCATTCTTTGTCATGAGTCTCCAGGTTTCCCACTTCTTTCAAAGTTCAAAAATTCTGGAAATTTCTTTTATTTCAGCTGATGGTCTCGGTCAAAGAGCAAAGGAAGTCTGTGTAAGACCATTGACGTTTGAAAATATTTCAGTGTAGGTGCTGATACATCGTGAACGCTAACGAACGGAAGAGTAGTGCAAGTCAAACAATGCACTCCCAAAGATATGAACTTGCAATAAACTGATCGAGTTAATCGACGGTACGTGTGATAATAAAGAGTTGTAACGCTGAGATGTTCAATCCCGGTCTCAGGTTTTAAAACAAAAGTCTCGGCATCTCCAGCAATCTTCTTGCATTTTACCAATCCCTACCCCAACGCCTTATGAGTGTTTTATAAACTCTCAGTGACATTCTTCGAATGGTGTTGCAACTGCGGACATTAAAACGATGTTTTTTTTAAAAAAAGATAAAAGCTCTGAGATCAGAAAGCGGGTTGAGAGACATTTGTGACTGAAATTTGATTTCTCAACAAATTTAAGCGATTTCTTGTTTATATTAACCAACTGCTTTTCTTCGCTTCGATTTGACTGATATTGAAAGAATTTGTACTGCGTAACTGGATGTTTTCAAAGGAACGTTACCAAATCACCGGAAATTTGCACGGCAAAGCTGAGAGCAAGACTTTCGTCTAAGCTCACCTAGTTTGGTTCTTGTGGTTTAGGCAACTACCTCGACTTATTGAAAGCGAGGTGTTGTCTCCTTGAGGAAAAATCCATGGAAAGTCAGCCGGGTTGTAGATAAATAAACCGAACCGTCGCCAAACACGTCAATATAACTTTCTTTGCATTAAGATGGAGGTGCAAATGAGCAGAACCGCTTGTATTATCCACTTAACACTAGGCTTTCTCCTAGACCAAAAATGTCGGCCCCAACGTTTTGTAAAATGGTTTTGGTTTGGAGCTCACGGCACGGATGAGTTGATGCGGAAAGGGGGCAATTTAATGTTTCGAACAGGAATAATGATTTTTCTTTTTGAATTGAAGTATGTGCGGATTGCATCAAGTTCTAACCAACAAGAGGTATCGAGTTGCGCATAATTGTAAGACATGTATTTCTGATTATTAGAATCATGGCGAGTTCCATTTTTGTGTGGCTAACACAAATTGAGTAGCCACATTATGGCATGATCGAATTAATTTTTTTATTTTTTTTATTTATTTCTCCACGAGAGTCGAACGCCCGTTACGTGGTCTGGTGTCGTACGGCACACTAGTCTGAGTCAGCCATCTTGGTTTTAGGCGTGGTCTCGAGTAATGTTTTTCAGATGATCGTATCATGAGTAGTTAGTTCTCCTCACACAAGCCAACTCATCCAGACCCGGGTCGGGTTATAAGTGCAGTTTTTGCAAGAGCTTTTACGCTCTTAAAAGACATCACGGATCTGCTTGAATCTTCGGTACGGGTTCTACTATACTGAAAGGAGTCAATGGCAACAACTCTCGGCTTGATCTATTGGGCGGGTTGCACCACTGAGTGTCTGAAAGAGTTTGAAAGTGTTTGAAACTGCCTGAAGCCGCCTGAAAGAGCCGTAAAGTGAAATAGGTTATATAAATTAAAGTAAAGTAAATAGTCTTTATTTCATTGATAAAATACATATCAAGTGTTACATATAAAGTGTAATGGGCTAATATATGTATCAATTACTTACAGCTTAGTTATGCTTAAAACTAAGTCAATTAATAAAATAATTTATGTATCGTAGTTGCATTCTCCTTGCACAGTTGAGAATTCATGGAGGCATATTTCAAAACGACAAAAGTAAGTATGGGAATCTCGATTGAACAATACCGGTGAAGGATAGGCTCTCATGACAATTTCGTGAAAACAAAGGAGATCCTATCACGTTCCAAGAATCATATTTGGAGTTTAATGCTTATGATGTTCTATTTAAGTGTATTTTTTATCTAGTTGTTCGTTCATCTTTGTTGCTTAGATTTCACATGTCGGCTTTCTTACAGTCGGCTTGTCTTCTGAGTGCGGATTACTGCGAGAAGTCTGTTATTTACCAAGATTGAAACAAGTTGTTGGACAATAAAAAATGTGGAGTGGTGAAGTGTTTTGTTTTTCCCAATTTATGTACCACTAGAATTCACGTGACTAAGCTTTGCGGTCACGTTTTCCGTGAGTCATTTACCGGCACGATTTTTATTCTGAATTTCTGTTCATAACACATGCTTAGTAAGAAAATTACGTAATCAGTCTTTTTAGTACATGCTTAACTAAAATTTTTAGTCACTGAGTGAAAATAGATTTTTTTTGTCACCACTTGAAAATCAAACACTGCTGGTGTCTGGTATTTCAATATGACAGCCTCTTCAAATGAAATTATTCTTTCGAGTTTACATAGCTAAACCGATTTACAAACGTCTAACGACTAACCTGAAACTGCAGTTTGTCGTTAACTTGGTGCTAAATGTCTATTATGATTGTTTCCAAACTTTGAGGAGGTAATACATTAAAACTCGGTAACAAAGTGGTTTTGCTTTTATTAAAGTACGACATGTGATTAGTATTGTGTTTTCCAAGTAATGCCTAGAATTATTCAGACCTTAACATTTCATGACTTCCTGTAAAGCTTGGCAGTCAGTTCTAAATTCTCTTTATAATGGTCTACAGAAGCATTGATATTTAAACTTGGTAGCAATAGATACGTATTTGGCCTTTATTTGGTTGACTACAACTCCATTTCAGTTATTTGTTTGGTAGCTTGGATTTGGGAAACAGCGGCATGAAACTACAATCTCGATAATGAGAAAACTTGAAAGATTCTGGTACTTTGAATCATCTGATATCATCATGCACTTGCCTTTACATTGAACTCTGTTGTGTTTAAGTTATGTCTCTGATTACTGTTCCTGAAATCTATTATAGTTACACTCTATCTATATTGAGCTTTTTGTTAATTAAAACCTCCAGGTCTAATTGTAAATCTTATTGGGTTTAAAATTTTAAGCAATGTCTTTGCAATGTTACTTCAGAGTACTATTCAACATTTGATTCATTAAAATATTACTCGTGTTCTGATCTTGTCATGCACCTATCTTTTTTCCCTGAATTCTTCCATTTGCAACCCCATATCCACCTACCTCAACTAATTTTTTCTGAGTTTATTGAAAATACAGTCCAACAAAACCCAAATACAATAACTATCGTAAACTTTTTGCTCTCAACCAATTGAAAATGGAACTTTGCGCCTCAATGGACGATAGAAACCAACGTTCAGCATTGTGTTACTTCACCTGTTTGCATTGTCCAAAATTAGTCCTACACTCAAACCAAATCAAGCTCCCAATGGCTTTAGTGTAGATTGCATCATTTCCCGAATGTCCCGGCCCTTCTGCAAAGTTTTGTCCTTATCTACTGGTTCACAAAATGCCAAAAAATATTCATATGAAATGCTTCCTCAGATTTAATTTCATATCACTTGGAAAAGACAACCCACAAACTTCAGAACTCAAATCCACTCTGTTAGCTAAACAAAATCGTGACTGAATCTATCAGGCCACCACTGTAGTCAACTCTCTGTAAAATATAAGTTATTCACATTTTTCAATTGAAAATGAGACTCTTAAGTTATTTTGCATATTCATTAGTTAGACGCTCTGCTTGATGGTTATCTTTTACAACAATTGTTCTTCTTCCATAGGGGCCAGCTGACTTTTTCCTGAGCCGGCATGAGTTTGTCCAAACATACATCCAACAGAAATGATCAACTGTATCCACCACATGGGAAGATAAATGTAACAATCCTTGCATCAGAATGGGGATCAAGTAAAGGTGGACTATCCACATTAAACAGAGAGTTAACCATTCAGTTGGCTAAGTTTCCTGAAGTGCAAATTTCCTTCTTTGTGCCAAAATGCAGCGAACAGGACGAGATAGCTGCACTCAGCCACAACATCAAAATTGTTCGAGCGACAAGGCGGTCTGGCTACGATGAACTTGAATGGCTGAGCTTTCCACCAGATCAGCTCCACATTGATGTCATCGTTGGCCATGGGGTGAAACTTGGTCATCAAGCCCGAGCTATTAGAAATTCGCACAACTGCAAGTGGATTCAAGTTGTCCACACTGATCCAGAGGAGCTTGGAATGTTCAAAACCTATCAGAATCCCATTTCCACCGGCGAGAAAAAGCGCAAAATAGAAGTAGAACTCTGTGAGATGGCAGACCTCGTTGTGGGAGTTGGACCTAAGTTGTGTGAGGCGTTTCGCAGATACCTCCGCTGGTGCAAGAAAGATAAAAGTATTCTTGACATCACCCCTGGTGTTTTTGAAGAATTTGAGAATGTTGAACACGTCGATGAAGACGTGAAACGATGTGGCATTCTAATGTTTGGCCGTGGAGATGCTGAAGACTTTGAGTTGAAAGGTTTCGACATTGCAGGCAAAGCTGTTGCTGAGGTTGAAGAAGCTCGTCTCATTTTCGTTGGTGCTCCAGAAGGAAAGCACAAAGAGATAGCAGAACGTTTTCGCAAATGCGGTGTACCGGCTAGTCGGCTGACTATAAGAAGCTTTCTGGAAAATCGAGAGAGTTTGAAACACTTGTTCTGCGAATTGGATCTAGTGCTCATGCCATCAAGGACTGAGGGCTTTGGCTTAACTGGTCTGGAGGCCTTATCAGCTGGTCTCCCTGTGCTTGTCAGCAAGAACTCAGGGTTTGGAGAAGCCCTGAGTAAAGTACCATTTGGTGAATCGTGTGTGATTGACTCAGAAGATTCTAAGGTATGGGCTGACGAGATTAAGAAAGTCTGGAGAAAAAACAGGAAGATGCGACTACAGGAAGTAGAATTACTCCGTTCCTCGTACGGCAAGATATTCAGCTGGGCCACACAAAGTAAAGTCTTTGTCAACAAGTTGATCGACATTTTTCATGGTATGGGTTACGGAGATAACAGTTAACTATCTTCTCTGGGTTGTTAAAGATTAGCAAACGCTTTTTTTTCCTTTTTTACCTAAAGGGGGCTAACTCGAGAACTCGTGGTTTTCTCAGAGTCTCCATGACGATCTATAGAACACTGTTACCTTTAAATTTTTACATATGTATCCTTTCCTGGTTGTAACTAAAACTTGAGTGCTGAATAAAGTAAAGTTGAAAGTTAAAGTTGAAGTTGAAAGTTGAAGTCGTGTAGTTATCACGGTAGATCAGGTGATTCTCTGAATACAAAAATAGTGGCGAGTACCTGGTGGTTCTGATTATAAGTGAACGTAAAGACCGATTGGAACCGCTGAGTCAGTCTTTAACTGAACGAAAAAAAGTTATATTTGAACATGTGATCATTGAAATTGTTGTTTAGGGGGTTGAGGGAGAACGACAAAAAGAAACCTTTACTGCTGCTGTCTAGAGGGTGATTCCAAGGGAGAGAGAGTAGATTTTCAAATTCTTATTTAAGTATGAGAGAACCTGTCAATATTCTGCTATCAAGATGATTTCCTGGTAATTAGTTTCTTGAAAAACTAGTACAGATGTCTAGAACCATGACTCGAGTGCTAATATGTATGTTCCAAACCCCACAGATAAACTACCATAAGAGAAGGCAAGTTTTGATTCAAGCAACTGAACCAAAATCATTGAATTAAACCATGCAATTAGTATTTTTTTTCTGTTCAGCAGATGCTTCTGTTTGTGAGGTGAGCGCAGCCCAACGTCAGCACCAATCATCAAGTTTATCACTTTCCCAGGTTGCGCAAAAGGATGGTGGTCAGCGGGCAGGTATTACACAACTCTGCAGCATAGATTCCTCTTTAAGCATGATAGATGTACCATGTATGACTTCAAAGTTGAAAACATTTTCTGAAACTAGCGTCAGAGTAGAACACGCAATGAAATATTCAGAGCCTAGTACACCATAAAACTAAATTCCAAATACCATGAGCATGAAAACAATATTTCGGAAGATCATTGAATATTCCTCATTTAAGAGGTTGCCTTGCTGTGAAAAGTGTTGTATTCGATAATTTCTCTTAAATTCAGACATGACGAAAATATTCTTAAAAGAAGAATTATGGCAAAGTACAGGTAGAGGGTGATCACATCTTTTTTTTTCCAGCAACGAGCATCATTCCTGATCAGCAACGGTTGAATCCTAAACAACGAACACACAAGGAAATTGAACGTTTGGACCTGAAGAAAATTGCTGCGGCCAAAGGATTTATCATTTGTGACAATCCAGCATCTGGAAACTGTATGTTCCATACATTGTCACAACAGCTGAAACGCGTGAAAGAAATCAACATCTCACACGAAGAAATACGGAAGGACTCAGTTCGGTTCCTCGAAAACTTCCCAAACCTTGTAAGATCTAGCTTACTCAGATGGTAATCATTGGTACTTAATTGAAATGACCGCGTCATCTAAACTTACTCGCAAACTTCGGCAAGATGTTAATGAAAATCTTTTGAGATGAAAAGAACACTAATGCATGGTTTATTATGAACCGCGTTTCGAAACCTTTGTCTTTTTTCTTTCGGCTTTTTTATTACTATGATGACTACCAATGAATACATTAAGATCCATTGACTGATAGCTACTTTAAGTCCACTGGTTTGATATGCATATTTTTCTCTCATAAAGCCTGATGGAACAGAGCTGTTCAAGTTTGTCCATGGGTATCCATCATGGTCCGATTATCTGAGAAGCATGGAAAAAGATGGCACTTGGGGTGATCACGTGATTCTTCATGCAGCAGCAAACGTCCTCAACACTCGTATTCGTGTGATCAGCAGTCTTGGCAGTGACGTCATGATCAGTCCGAATCATCCCGGTGTTAACCATACTAATCCACTTGTGGTTGGTCACATTCATGAGATGCACTATGTAAGCCTTCAACCCAAGCAAGGTACGGGATAAAAATACTTTTGGCAGATCATCTACAGGTGTCTCTTGTCTCCAAATTTACTCTTCTTCTCTCTCTCCACTCTCTTGATTTTTCCACCTGTTTAATTTACTAACCTGACACGATGGAAATGCAAATGTAACCTGACCAAAATTTTTATATTTAAACGATGAACATGTTACACCTGTCATCGAGGGGACCAACTCACCAGCGTAGCTCATCGGTCCCCTTTATAGGAGTTTAAAATACTGTAATCTTCTTCTTACAAGCCTTGGACTTATAGAACTTCGTAAGGGATTTTAGGAGGGCTTATACACGGAGGGGCTAATATCCGGGTGGGGCTCTTATAACCGGAATAAAAAAGCACTTCGAGACGAGCTATAGTACTGCTTATCAAAACTCAAAACGTCTCAAAGAATCGAGTTCGTTTCAATACATTTGGAACAGAATTGAAAATAACAACACCAAGAAAGCTGGAACATAACAAAACAGAAGGTTAGACCTCCTCTTGAAGTTCATCTTTGCTGGCCTATGATTAAAATCTTTATGTCTATCTCACAATAGAGTCCCCATCTCACAAACCAAGATAGATGGGCTGGGTGTGTTTGAAGCAAATTAACTAAATCATTGAATAAAACAGAATGCAATTTTATAACTTTTTTTTTTATTGAGCAGATGCTTCTGTTTGTGAGCTAAGAGCAGCCCAACATCAACAGCAACCATCGGGTGTCTCTCTTTCCAAGCTTGAGGTGAAGCCCACAGATTTTGATCAGCACGCAGGTATTACATAGCTCAACAGTATATGTTCCTCTTCTGAAGTCATAATAAATTTACCATGTCTAGCTTTCAAAGTTAAAAAAGGCGTCCTGAAACTACTGTAAGAGTGGAAAACGTGAAATTATAGCTAAATATACCAGTAGAGCACGCATTGCATAGCCAAGTATAGCCAAAAACTAAATTGCAAAGATATGCCATGAACGTGATAGCGATATTTCAAAAAGATAAAAAAAATTTCATTAATTTAAGAGGTTGGCTTATTGTGACAGGTGAAGCAATCAAAAGTTTCTTTGAAATTTTGACATGGCCAAAACATTGCGAAGAAACCAATTAAAGTAAGGCTCAGGTAGAAGACTGTCACATCGGTTTTAACATTAAAGGCCTCTCCTTTTTCTTCCAGGGAAGAGAATCATCCATGATCTGCAACAATTGAGTTCAAGACAACAAACGCGCGAGGAAAGTGAACTATCGCGGGATTTGCAGAAGAATATTGTAGATAAAGGATTTGTCATTTGTGACAATTCAGCATCTGGAAACTGTATATTCTTTGTATTGTCGCAACAACTGCAAAGCATGAGAGAAATCACCATTTCACACAAGGAAATACGGAGGGACTTAGTTCAGTTCCTCGAAAACTTTCCTAAACTGGTAAGACCCCTGATCCTTGGTACTTAACTTAATGAGAATGTTTGAATGATTTGAGTTTACTAGCAACTTCGGAACGATATTACAGGAAATGTTTGTCAAATGAAAAGAACTCTCAAGGTTTACTTTAAATCATATTGCAAAACTCCTGTCTTTTTCTTTTCACCTAAATGGTATGCTGACCACACATCTTAAAATATTCAGTGAATGATGGCGATTTTTAGTAGGGGAGCAGGATGGCGAAGTGGCGAAAGCACTCGCTTCCCACCACTGTGGCCTGGGTTCGATTCCCGGACCTGGCTTTTGTCACATGTGGGTTTAGTTTATTGTTGGTTCTCGTCCTTGCTCCGAAGGTTTTTCTCCAGGTCCGAGGGTTTTCCACCCAGCGGAATGTCCATTGCTAAATTGTTTATTATGTATTTATTATTATTAAGTACATTCGATTAATCTCCCAATTTTCCCCTTATCAAAGCCTGATGGTACAGAGCTGTTCAACTTTGTCCACGGATATCCATCATGGTCTGCTTACCTGAGAAGCATGGACAAAGATGGCACCTGGGGCGATCACGTGATCCTGTACGCCGCAGCAAATTTCTACAAGACCTGTATTCGTGTGATCAGCAGTCTTGGCTATGACTTCATGATTACTCCGGATTATCCCAGTATTATCAAATCATATCCACTTGTGGTTGGTCACATTCACGAGGAGCACTTTGTAAGCCTTCGACTCAAACAAGGTATAGCATAAAATACTTTTAGCTGATGCTCTTCAGGTGTATCTAGCCTCAAAATTCACTCGATCTCTCTGTCCACTCCCTTGATCTTTCCTCTTTAAAACGTACTAACCGACATATTAGCGAGAAGTCATAAAAATCATTGAAGGGACCAAATTGACTGCTGAGTGCATAAGTCTCCAATATAAGAGCTATATATAAAGCAGGTTAAAGACAAAGCCCCTTCAATATAGTGACAGGGAAGAAATAAGAAATCTTATTTATCAGGAAAATTTTTCATTTTGTTAAGGGACCATAAAGTCAT